TAACTTACTAGATTGGCAGGTATGTTTCAACTTGCTGTGAGAATCTTTTAGCGTGGTTTTTAGGGTGAAGAAGTGTCTCATATAGTTTACGATTAACCGATGCTTGAAAGTCGTTCGAAACTCTAACAATGATTGGTGAAGAAGCGTAATAATGTTGTAAAATGTTAACTTTCTTTGTATACAATTTCTCACTCAGGTAATACCTGCAGAAAATATAATTGCTGCATTTCAAAACAGCCAAAAGACTGTGTTTGCCGTCTTCAATAATACATCCGAATGGGGGGGGGGGAGTAGAAAGTGATGGAAAAGATTAGATTCTCTCATGTATTGTCCCAAAAAAGATTAACTTAACTGACAAATGATATATCTCCTGAGCTTGTCTTGTGCATTAGTCGTTCAAGTAGGATGAATACTATGTAATTTAGTAATAATTATTTATTGAGGGTAAAGTTTGACTTTGGTACATTTGCAATTGATTTGTGATTTAGTTTAATGAAATTCTCTTTTCTCGGCTTTTATAGGTTTGTTCATTTTGTGAGCACACCTGAAATACTGTAACATGTATATATTATAGAATCCGAAATTTTAACATGTATATATTATAAAATCCGAAATCTTACAAATTGAAGAGGTAATTGCAATTCAAGGAAATAATTCCTTTGAGATTAACATTGTACTGTCTTGGTAGAAAATTATGAAGCCAATGAAAACTTGCCCAGGCTTCATAATTTTTCTGGCTCCGCCACTGACAGAGCCACTTCCATTGGATTATCCCCACATAGTAGTCTTGTCATACTCACCAGCAAATTCCCCCAACGGAAAAAGAAATATGATCTTTTCTCGACAATATCGCCCATATATGGAGTACCAATCAATACAGTTTATGGAAATTCTCCTCCCCAACTGAGTTTATTCCTCTAAAACTATCCTGCAGATGTTTCTCTCCAGCAGAGCTCATTTCCTCAACACGAGTGTCTCCTTAGTAGAGTATTTCTCCGTCAAAAGGGTTTATTTTCCCAACAAGATTTATTTCCCCAATAGGGTTTACTTCCCCATTGGAGTTCAATATCCCCAGCTTGAGTCTGCTTCTACCATAAATGACTAGCAAGATTCCCATCTCCAGCAAAGGATAATCCAGGGTTGCTATCCCCAGAGAGTTGCTACTGAATCTGAAACTGGATCAGATATTGTTCAACCTTATTCTTTCTAGATGAGTTGGTATCCATATAAAAAACTTGGTCAGGCAACACCTCAAAATGTTATCCATCTCTTTTATCCCCAGTCAGGGCATCTAAGAACTAAATTCCCCAGTAGAGCGGTGAACGACCAATGTTCTTGGACTTTTATCCCCAAAGCAAGAATCAACATTCTCCAGGGGAGTTTCCTCAAGCAGAAAGCAGGAATACCCATAAAGATTGAAGATACACATGTTCTTCTTCCCCAACAATAGTCAGGGATTTATTTTCCCCAGACAAAGATGTTGTTCGAGTGTACAAATACACTTCAATAACTTTTAACATCCATACATCATTTACAAATATCATAACATGTACTTACGAAACGTATATAGCAAAATCTCATTTATTTTTAGAACATCATTACACAATTCATTTCATACATCATGACATTGCATACAACTAACTCTTTACCTTTTCAGGAAAGATCAATCAACAGACAAACATCATCAATTATTTATATGACCAGACAGTCTTCTCAAAGGAAACATATGACAAATGGCTACTTAAGCAATTTCCTCAGAGGTTCATCCTCAAAGAGACTTCTTCTGGCTCAGATTAAATTAAGCGTAGATTTATTCTGATACTTCTTCTAGATAAAGACGAGCATGGACATCTTCAGGCTCAGACTAAATCGAGTGTAGATTTATTCTGATACTTCTTCCAGTTGAAGACTATAGTAGACATCTTCTGGCTCAGATTAAATCAAGCGTGGATTTATTCTGATACTTCTTCCAGTAGACATTTTCTGGCTCAGATTAAATCAAGCATGGATTTATTCTGATACTTCTTCCAGTAGACATTTTCTGGCTCAGATTAAATCGAGAGTAAATTTACTCTGATACTTCTTCTAGTTAAAGACAGGCGCAAACATCTTCTGGCTCAGATTAAATCAAGCATGGATTTATTATGATACTTCTTCCAATAGACATTTTCTTGCTCAGATTAAATCGAGCGTATATTTATTCTGATACTTATTCCAGTTAAAGTCAAGCACAAACATCTTCTGGCTCAGATTAAATCGAGCGTAGATTTATTCTAATACTTCTTCCAATTGAAGATGGTCGTAAATAGCTTCTTGCTCAGATTAAATCGAGCGTAGATTTATTTTGATACTTCTTCCAGTTAAAGACGGTCATAGACATCTTCTGGCTCAGATTAAATTGAGAAAAGATTTATTCTGATGCATTTTCCAGTTAAAGTCGAGCATAGATATCTTCTGGCTCAGATAAAATCGAGAATATATTTATTTTGATACTTATTCCAGTAGACATCTTCTATCTCATATTAAATCAAGCGTAGATTTATTTTGATACTTCTTCCAGATAAAGACGAGCGTGGACATCTTCTGGCTCAGATTAAATTGAGTGTAGATTTATTCTGATACTTCTTCCAGTTGAAGATGGTCGTAGACATTTTTTCTGGCTCAAATTAAATCGAGCCTAGATTTATTTTGATACTTCTTCCAGTTGAAAGCAGACATGGACATCTTCTGGCTCAGATTAAATCAAGCGTAGATTTATTCTGATACTTCTTCCAGTTGAAGATGGTCGTAGACATTTTTCTGGCTCTGATTAAATCGAGCGTAGATTTATTCTGATACTTCTTCCAGTTAAAGACAAGAATATGCATCTTCTAGCTCAGATTAAATCAAGCATATATTTATTCTGACACTTCTTGCAGTTGAAGTCGAGTGTAGACTCATTCTAATACTTCCATCAACGGTTACCTCTGGGTGGCATCTATAAGACCATATCCGACAACTCTCCTCCATCTCTCTGAATGGCATCTATAAGTCCATTCCTGGTATAATCAATCAACAATTCTACTCTGTGCACAGGCGAGCACAAATTTCCGGGCACTTAAGTGTTCAATCATCTTCCACCTTCAAGTCACGAATGGCATACATGCCAATCTAAACTCTTCAGGTTTAAGAAGATTGAACAGGGGAAGATATTGTGCCTTAAAAATTTCCCTCCTATTTTCTTCAAGACATTCTCTTAAGGGTTCTCAAAATGCTCAAGAATCTCAAGGGTAGACCAGTCAAAACCTCCTCCTAAGCAAGGGGTCTGCAACTAGGGTTTTGAGTTCCTCAAAGAAGTTTGGTTTGAAAAGATCTCAAATTGTTTCCATGGTTCATCATAGGTCCTCAATAATGCTCATGTCAAGTTTCAAGTCTTGCATCACAAGTTTGCTCAGTCAATGGCTCAAATGATTGAAAGTCAACTCTATGGGGTAAAAAGTCAACTATGGTCAACATGTTGTCAAACTTCAAGACATTTGGTCCACGTCAACATTTTGAAGTTATATTCATCATTTGATCAAAGGTTGATCATGACTCCTCAAGGAAAGCCCTCAAATCATCAAAGGTTAAAAATTGCCAAATTAGGGTTTCCTTAGGAGAAGTCAACTGAACTTTGACCAAACATAACTTTCACATTATTCATCAACTTTTCCCTAAGCAAATCCCATTTTAAAGGAAATCAAATTATCTATAACTTTGAATCTATTGTCAAGTCCAAAAAATGCTTCATTTGAAAGATATGAGCTAATACATTACAGGTCATTTTCAAAAGTCAACAAAAAGACACTTTTTGTCAAGGCAACTTACATCAAGATAAAGTCTCCAAATTCAAAAATGATCAAAAGAGAAATTGTAGAGCACATCTTGAGCTTTCCAAAAAGTCCAGGATCACCTTCAAAATATGAAGGTTGAGCAAGTTATGAGTTGCACAAGTTGGGAAAGTTTGAGGAAATGCATGAAATGCAAAATGAGCAAACTTGAAATTTTAGACTTGTGACCTAACTTTTTAGGTTTCAAACATGTACATGAACTTATGAAAGACTCCTAAAGCTCACTCATACCAAGTCTTATATTTTCTTAGTATTTTATTTATATTTATTTTGTTTTTATTCAAATAAATACAAAATAAATTAAAAGAGATACATGATAATTGGGCCAGGTTCATGAGTAGTCTTTTAAGGCCCAAAACAACCCAGCAAGACATGTCAAATATGTGTAAGGATCAAAGAGGAAAGAATTACTCAAAAATGGGAAGTTTTTAATGTGTTGGATTTTTGTTTCATGGCCATGAATGCCTTTGTCTTTGTTCCATATTTTTTGTTCCATTTCACTCCCCTATTTAAGCACAACAACATCAGATCACAGACACAGATCCCTGCCTCATGAAACTAGCAAAAACTCTCCAAATTTTCTCAAAACCCTCGAGTTTCAAAACTCTCTCTACAAGCTCTCTCATCCTAAAATTCTGATCCTATTCCTTTCCTGGAACATTGAATGGTAAATTTGGACTAATTACCATGATCCAAAACGCATGAGAATGGCATATCATGCATCTCCAATCATATAACCACTACGCCAAAAATAAGTTACGAAAGTGCTTTTTTTGGCCTTTAAAAGCGCTTAAAAGTGCTTTCTAAGGTGGCGCTGCTATAGGTTTTAGCAGCGCTTTTTGTTTAATGAAAAGCGCTTTCGTAGGTCTACCTAATACAACACTTTTTCTAAAAAGCGCTCTCTTAAGTAGGCTTTTGGCAGCGCTTTTTTATGAAGAAGCGCTTTCATAGGTCTACCTAAGGCAGCGCTTTTTTCTGGAAAAGCACTGTCTTAGGTAGGCTTTTAGCAACGCTTTTTTCTGGAAAAGCGCTTTCATAGGTGGTCTTTTAGCAGCGCTTTTGCCTGGAAAAGCGCTGTCATATGTTTACCTTAGACAGTTCTTTTTGTGAAAAAGCGCTTTCATAGGTTACCTAAGGCAGTGTTTTTCTTGAAAAATCGCTTTCATAGGGTGTTTTGTCCCTCTTCATTGGCTGCACATTAAAATTGAGTTACTGCCTATAGCAAGAGTAGGACTAGTATCATACACATGAGAATTGCTACAAAACTATGAGAAAAATATTTTTGTACTATCATTGTAGATATACTTTTCTTCATGAAAAGAACAGAAGGAAAAAAAAAGAAATAACTGAAACTACATGGTGGTTTGAAAAAAGTGTATGAGAAGAAACATATGCAAACTGTACCATAATAATTTTATTATATCTGAATCGATATTGAAAACTGCATATTTTATGTCAAATATGAAGAAACTTTTAACATCAAATGGATAATCATTCCAAAGTCTGTATCATTAATTTATCATTTCAGAAAACTGAGAATAATTGGTAAACATAAGATGTCAAGGATGATTATTAAGCGCAGAATAGCAGCCGAGTGCTTCCAAGGGATAAATGAATTGCAGTGTTATGTCATATGCATATAGTGCATAAAGGTTTCTATTAAGAGTTTCTAACCTGAACAGTAGCCAAAAGGGAGCCAGTTCCCTTCACATATCTGTAGTAACTTTTCGTAAAATAGCAGCAGCGCTTTGAATTAGGATAGATAACATCTAAACTCTTTTAAGGAAATGGGGTCAAGAGAGAATATTACTGAAACATTATTTTTCTTGGTAATAAATAGGGTTATAAGCTATAGTAAAATGATTTAAATATGCTCAAAACCAATTAATGGGGTAAGGATACCCATAGCACTTCCCCACTTCTCTGACAAGCTTGGGTGAATGTAATACTTGTCTAAAGAGTCGTATTCATCTTCATTATCTTCCCCTGAAGTTCTATAAATGTCATTGGAAACACCGGTCGCTGAAGCCTCAGGTTCAACATTTGTATCATTGCTAAGATTCTTTAATACAAGAAACTTCTCAATAGGTTGACATGACTGGAACAAATTGTGTCTATCCTCGAGTGATAAATCATCTTCCTTAGCATATGCGTTGAAAGGATCAAATAATGGCTAAGGAGACTGAATCAGCTGGCGGCTCAAAAACTCATTTCCAAAAGATGACGGTTTTCTCTTAGCCTAAAAAATTAAACACATTCAATCCACTATCACAAACTCATAAGCCAAAAGGTTTACAGCTTCGACGGACAAGAACCCTAGTTAAAGATATTATAATAGCTAAATCTACTTTTTCCCTCCCCCTCTTTGAAATGTGAAATAAGCCATTATTAACACAACTTGCGACTCAAGTAATTAAGAACAATTTTCTCCATGAGACTACAATGCAATTAAAGATCCAACAGCAACAAAAAGAGGATTCAAACTTTATGAACATCTTTGAAAGTATATTGCCTGAAACCAACTGATTCCTTGATGATATAAAATACATCCCAAGTTTTTTGAAAGAAGCATTTAAACTTGAAGAAAAGAATAGTCTAAGACTAAAGAATACCTACCAGACAAAAGTAACAAGGCCTAGAATATGGAACTCCAAACTGTAAAGGGCTGAGAATGAACTCTTGTGTAATAAAATTTGTTTTCTCCATTATTTCAATCAGTTTTGCATGTGTATCAGATGTCTATAGCCAGAAAGGACAGAAAAATAATCAGAAACCATTAAGGAAACTTATTTAGGGTCTTAGTGAACATGTTTATTGAAGAACACAAACCTCAAACCCGAAAACATTTTCCACAAACAACATACTTGGAGGCCACAATAGGAATGGGATGAGCTCAAGAATCTGAAGAAAAGAAAACGCCCGTGCATCCCCAGTGTCCTTCTGGAGACCTAACACAAGATTATTGAGCGACATTTTGCTTACAGAACTAAATAAGTTATCATAGAACGAGAAGAAGAAAAAATCACCTTGTCGTGTGTAAGGTTGACAGGGAGGAGAAAGGAGCGATGCGTGGGCACCATATTTGTCTAGATCAGCAGCAGTTAGGCTTTGAATATTTCCCTAAGTCATCCAACACAGATAAATCTCAATCAGATCAGGTAGATCAACAATGTCTAAGAAACTGAATAGACGTGGTCTATGACCTTGACATGTAATGTGACAAAATTCCAAATATACCCATCTATCCACAGTTCATGAACGTACAAACCTTTAAAATCACAATTCATAACTCAATAATAGGAAAATTAACAATTTGATTTGGAAAAACAATACAAAAAGAGAAGAGTGAAACCTGATAAGGACGATGAGAAAAGTTATGTTGGTAAACATCATTTGCAATGTTATTGATTTCAAATGCTTCGATCACTTGCGCTTCTACTTGAGCTTTCATCAGCGAGTATCTCTGATACAAAACACTAATTCAATTTGAAAATTGGGAAAAGATGAATTAGGGTTCGATGGGGTGCGTACTATGCCGCCAATTCCATTGTAGAACTCCAGTACTCTCTGCATCTCTTTCCCCATTATTGCTGCTTGCTTGCAACTTGCAACAATCAAGCCACTTCCAACGCTTTGAAAAACCAATGACCTTAACCACTAGGGTTCTGTATGTATAATTTCCTATAAATAAATTATTAATAATTTTAGTCTTAAATAAGCGCTTTCGTAGCATATCCTATAGCAGCGCTTTTAAAAGCGCTTTCTAAAGGCCATCTTTAGCAGCGCTTTGGAAAAGCGCTTTCTAAGGCTGACCTTTAGCAGAGCTTTTGAAAAGCGCTTTCTTAAGGTACCCTCTGAAAGGCCAACTTTAGCAGCGCTTCCCAAAAAGCGCTTTCTAAGGGTGACCTTTAGAAGCGCTTTTGAAAAGCGCTTTCTTAAGGCACCCTTTAAAAGCGCTTTTTTAAGCGAATTTTTTTTAAAACCTACAGCAGCGCTTTTTTCCAAAAGCGCTTTCTTTTATGTGCTGCTAAAACTTATTTTTGGCATAGTGAACATTGTGAAATCCATATCTTAAATTTCGTGTTATTTTAAATCTTGTTGTCATTGCTAATGTATTCCTGAGTTTCTTTTGAACAGGTTTAGATCACCAATATGAGAATAAAGTGAGAAGAAAGTGTTAGAACTCGCAAGGAAACTTCAGGAGGAGCAGGGTCTTAATGCTTACATCAGTACAAAGAGGAAGCATCCTTGGGAGATTTGATTCTTAGATTTTAGGAGTTTATTTTATCTTTGGAAGATTTTGTAAGCCTAAAAGGCAGTTGTAATTTGAACTTTGCTAAAAATAATTTTGTCTCTTGTTTCCTCCTAGTTAGAAAATTTAAATTTCCTAAAGTCCTTGAAATCATTGCATTTACATATTATGCACCATTTCATAACATGTTTTTTGTACAGGTTTCTCATTTTTTCGCTGTTTGTTTCAGCAGAAAAATGGCCCTCGAACAAATTGTAAAAGACCTCCAGGATCAACACGCTTAGTTCTAGGAAACTCTCATGAATCTGGCCCAAGGGCAAAAAGAGATGTTGGCGCTCGTAGCCAAGAAAAAGAAGACCAAAAAGGCAGCTATTGTCCTTAACCTAGGGAGGAGATTTAAGGGTCTTGTCCAACCAGTCCATCTAGAAGATGAGTCCTCTGAAGAAGATGACAACAATGATGAGGATGGCACGGACAAGCAGGATTATGAGAATACTCCTGAAGACGAAGACTTTTATGATGAACAATATCCTCATGCAGATGACAAATATAAGCAGTTGGAGGACATGCTCATGGCAATGGAAGTCTAGAAGGTGCATGAACTGGATTTTGGTGATTTAGGTCTGGTTCTGGGGGTGGTCATCCCACCTAAGTTCAAGGTCCCTATTTTTGATAAGTACGATGGGGTCTCTTGTCCTAAGCTCCACTTGAGGTCGTACGTTCGGAAGATATAACCTCACACTACTGATTGGAAGTTATGGGTCCATTTATTCCAAGAAAGTTTGGCTGGTACGCAAATGGAATGGTTCTATCAGCTGGAGGGAACCAATATTCGTACTTGGCTGCTCTTTTCTACAAGCAATACCAATACAATGCTGATCTGGCACCAACTCGGGTGCAACTGCAGAATATTTCCATGGGCTCTAATAAGGGGTTCAAGGAATATGCTTGGAAATGGAGGGACTTAGCTGGAAGGGTGCAACCTCCTCTGAATGATCGGGAAATGGTGGATATGTTTATGGGCACTCTGACAGGCCTTTTATTTAATCTGCTGATCGGGAGTTCCCTGTCTGGCTTTACAAAGATGATTCTGACAGGGGAAAGAATTAAAAATGGTATCAAGAGCGGGAAGATCCTGATGGCTGCGTATTCGAATGTAGTGAAGAAGTCATTTGGGGGAAAAGAAGGTCAATGTTATCTATGGCCAGAAGAGCCCTAGCAAAAGTAATCGTCACCAATCTGTGGGAGCAATGTTAATTTCCAATCCGACACCTGCTCAACAAGAACAACAGCAGGGTAACTACCAAAGGCCAGACACTCCGAGAAGGCAATTCATCGATATTAACATGCCTTTATCTCAGGAACTATAACACTTGCTAAAAGCCAAACTCATTTCGCTGTGTGATCCTCTTCTCAATCCCAACACCACCTCTCCTAAGTACAATCGGAATGCAAGATGTGCTTACCATTCATATAGTCCTGGTCATGACACCAATAGTTGCTAAGCCCTGAAGAAAAAAATTCAGGATATGATTGATAAGAAGTAGATTGATTTCGATCCTCCAGAGACCCCAAATGTGATTACAGCACCTATGCCCAAGCATGATAAAGGCATAAGTTCCATTGAAGATATTATGTATGTTACTTTTGTGAATGATATGGTTAATTCGCTCTCTACAATAAAGAAGAATATGTTACAAGCTGGTTTATTTCCAGGTTGTGTTGAAGGTTGTTATTGCTGTGCAGTCGAACCCAATGGCTGCAGGTCACTAAAAGGGGTGTTCAACGCTTGATGAATGAACATATTATTCTGATTGAAAAAGTTCCGCCTACCAACAATTTTTTCCAAGATCTGTCTGTTATCTCCGGTACTCCTTTTAGGATCCCTTCCAAAGGTCCTATAAGGATTACCGTCAATCTGAAAGCTGCTCCACTAGTTATTACAATGCCCGGGCCTATCCCGTATTCCTCGGAGAAGGAAATCCCATAGCATTACGCGTCTGACGTTTATTACCATGGCGTCCAGCAAGAATTGTCCGATGAAGAAAAAGAAGAAGTCGGTCCCAGTATTGTCAATATTGTGAGGACCAGTAAGATTACAAGAAGTGGAAGGATTTTCTCCCCATAAATCTCTCCACCTGCTCAGGTTACAGCTACCAAGAAGACTTCTGGGGCTCGGGGTAAAGAGCCGATGATAGAGCCTGCCCAGACAGAGGCTTCAAAAGAAGATCCTGTCAAAGATACTTTTGGAGAAGATTTAAAAGAGGTTCTGAAGATCATCCGCCAAAGTGATTATAAAATCTTTGAACAACTGGGGCAGACCCCATCCAAAATATCTATGTTATCACTACTGCTGTGTTTTGAGGCCCATGCGAAGGCTTTAGTGAAATTTCTGAAGACTGCCCACGTGCTGCAAGAAATTTCGGCAGATCAATTTGGAAGCTACGTGGCCAGCCTGACAACTGACAATGGTTTGGGTTTCTCTAATGTTGACTTGACTCTGAAGGGGAGGAATCACAATATGGCCTTGTACGTCTCCATTGAGTGCAAGGGAACTACATTTGCCCTTGTATAGATTGACACTGGATCATCTCTGAATGTTCTACCAAAAAGCACTCTCGACTGGTTACATTGTGAAGGGTTGGTGCTAAAACCCAACAAAATCATAGTTCGAGCCTTCAGCGGGATCAAAATGAATGGTGCATGGAGAGGTGGACCTCCAGATCAAGGCGGGTTCACAGATTTTTGAGTCCATTTTCTATGTCATGGACATCTGGACGACTTAATCTTGTTTATTGGGATGCCCTTGGATCCATGGGGCAGGAGCTGTCACTTCCACCCTGCACTAGAAGCTGAAATATCTGGTGAAAGGGAAAGTTGTTACTGTTTGTGGAGAGGAGGAGTACATGGTCAGCCACCTCAACTCATTCCGATATATTGAGATGGATGGAGAATTTATTGAAACACCCTGTCAAACCTTTGAAGTAATATCTCTTGTTGCTGTTGAGGATGTTTCAGCCATTCCAAAGATCACCAAAGCTCCGCACAAGATGGCCTCCTTAAAATATGCTAAGGCCACTATTGAAGAAGGTGGTAATACAATTTGGGGTCAGCTTCCGGATATCCCTTTTAAGCCTAAAAAGTTTGGTCTGGGCTTTACTGCAGAAGGTCAGAGGGCTGCTCGTCGGGCTGGGAGACCTCTATTCCACATCAGCAACACTAGGGTCAATGTTATAGAGGATGCAAACAGTTATTCTGACTTAACTGGATATTCCCGACCATGGGTGATGGACTTGAAAACTGGAAGGCAGAAGACATCTTTCCCATCTCCTTTAGTCAGGAGTAATAAGCTATATTCCTGTCTTTTTGTTTTCAAATTTTTTTGGATATGTAATAAACAATGGCTTTAAAACCTTGTGTCTTACCCGGGGCACAATGATTCATTTGTTAAAGGGTTGATTAACTATTCATAAACATTTGTTCATTAAATAAAAACATTGGACGTTTTGCATAAAATTTTGTTATCTCTGTCTTTCTTTGATCTTATTGCATTTTCAAATAGCTATGTAATCTTACACACACCCACACACTACCTTACAGATCCTCATCCACTATGGATCTTATTGATAACGATTCTGCTATTGCTTCATATGACTTCGAAAATCTGATCTACCAAGCCGAGGACGAAGGTGAGAAAGATTGTGAAATACCTGGAGAACTTGCCAGACTCTTGATACAGGAAGAAAAGACTATCCAACCACATGAAAAATCGATCGAAGTGGTGAACCTGGCTACTGAGATAGACAAGAAAGAGGTCAAGATAGGTGATGACTTAGAATAGTGTCAAGAGCAGGTTAATCCAGATGCTACAATAATATGTTTAAATATTCGCCTGGTCATACAAAGACATGCCAGGGCTCAATATTGATATTGTGGTTCACCGTCTGCCAATGGAAGAGGGTTGTGCTCCAATAAAACAGAAGGTTCATTGTAAGTATCCTAAAATGTCAGAAAAGATCAAGGCCGAGGTTGTGAAACAATTCAACGTAGGGTTCTTAGTAGTGACATCATATCCTCAATGGGTGGATAACATTGTTCCGTACCAAAGAAAGACGGCAAGGTGCATATGTGTGTAGACTACAAGGTTCTGGACAAGGCGAACCCCAAAAATGACTTCCCAATACCATATATTAATGTTTTGGTTGACAACACTGCCCAACACAAGGTATTCTGTTTCATTGATGGCTTATCAGGTTACAATCAGATCATGATGGCGCCTGAAGACATTAGAAAACTACCTTCGTCACACGGTGGGCACTTTCTGTTATAAGGT